CAAGGGGGGCCCGGCCCCCGGGGGCTGGCGCCAGCCCGAGCTGCCCGAGGTCATCGCCATGCTCAGCTTCCGCCTGGACGCCGTCAAGTCCAACGCGGCCGCGTACCTGCAGCACCTCTGCTACCGCAACGACAAGGTGAAGACGGAGGTGCGCAAGCTGAAGGGCATCCCCGTGCTGGTGGGGCTGCTAGACCACCCCAAGAAAGAGGTGCACTACGGCGCCTGCGGGGCCCTCAAGAACATCTCCTTCGGCAAGGACCAGGACAACAAGATCGCCATCAAGAACTGCGACGGGGTGCCCGCTCTGGTGCGCCTGTTGCGCAAGGCCCACGACATGGACCTGACAGAGGTCATCACAGGTAATGGCCCCAGGAGGGGCAGCCCTGGGAGGGGGCTGCGCGGCGCAGGTTTTTAAGCCTGCGTGGTTGGATTGGTCACCCCCTGCCTGTGGCCCTGCAGGGACGCTGTGGAACCTGTCCTCGCACGACTCCATCAAGATGGCCATCGTGGATCACGCGCTGCACGCCCTGACCGATGAGGTGGTCATTCCCCGCTCAGGCTGGGAGCGGGAACCCAACGAGGACTCCAAACCCCGCCACATCGAGTGGGAGTCGGTGCTCACCAACACCGCCGGCTGCCTCAGGTATAGGAAGGGGCTGGCGTGGGCTTGGGCCGCTCCTGCGGGCATGTGGGGCTGCAGAGGGGCTGCTCTCTGGGACAGCCACTGGAGGTGCAGCGCTGGTTTTGGAGGAGTTTCTGAGGGGAGGGGAGCTGCAGGGTGTTCTCCTGCCCTGAGCTCTGTTGGTGGGGGCTGTTCCTCGCTGTTCTTTGCTAGCCCACGCTCTCTCCCTGACGGCTCTCTCCTTCCTGCCAGGAACGTGAGCTCGGAGCGGAGCGAGGCGCGGCGGAAGCTGCGGGAGTGCGACGGGCTGGTGGACGCCCTCATCTACATCGTCCAGTCCGAGATCGGCCAGAAGGACTCGGACAGCAAGGTACCACGCTAGGTGTCGTGGGGCACACGTTGAGCTCTGCCCTGGTCCCCAGCTCCAGCGCTGCTCTGGTGACTGGAGCCAGGCTCATCCCAAGGGGACGAAGGGCGGGGGGGAGCGAAAAAAAGGATCTCATCTGATGGGACACAGCCCAGACTTGTGCCTTTCCACCGTACGGGAGGAGAGGCTGCGTGGGGTGTGACCAGGAGCTGCCTGGGTGCCTGCGGTTTGAGGTGGGGATGGCTCTGCACAGGGTTCTCATGGTGTTAGCCCGAGTTTTCCTTGAGACTCTTCTGGGACATCTCGTGCTTATGGCAGTGAGGTTTTTTGCCCAGGAGAGCATGAGCTGGTCCCAGCAGACAACTTTGGGGTGGGGGCGTGCTCCATCCGAGATGGAGCTGCACATCCCCCTGGTCCCTGTCCCTGGCTCTGGGTTGGGAGCTGTGAGGGGCCCTCACTTGCACCCATGGGGTGGGCATGGGATGCTCCATGTCAAACTGCCCGTCTTCCTCTCCAGCTGGTGGAGAACTGTGTGTGCCTGCTGAGAAACCTGTCCTACCAAGTCCACAGGGAGATCCCCCACGCCGAGCGCTACCAGGAGACGCCTCTGGCCCCCGCCAACAACGCAGGGCCCCACGCTGCAAGCTGCTTCGGTGCCAAGAAGGGCAAAGGTGCGTGGGGTGGCACAGCCTGGGGAGCTGGGACAAGGACGGACCCACAGTGGGGCTCAAGGGTGACGGGGGTCTCTGCTCTCGCTTTGGTGTCTCTTGTGTGAAGGCGCAGCTGCAGCTTTCTCTGGGGTCTTGCTTACCCAGAACGCTTGCCACGAGCTGCTGATGGGTGTCTGTGGTGGCGGGCTGGTGATGGACAGATGGACACTAACTCCACGCCCTCCCTTCTCTCCTGTGTCGCCCCTTCTCCTTGCTTTCTTGCCAATGGCCTGCCCCATGACGCTGTCGGCACTCCTCTCCTCCTGCCTCCCCTCTCTCCTGTCCTTCTCTCCGTTTCGCCAATAGACGAGTGGTTCTCCAGAGGTGAGTGTGCTCTTGGTTTTAATTCTTCCACGGGTTATTCGGGTGCTTTCTCTGTCTCTTTGCCTGCCGCAGCTGGGCTCATGCTCCTGCAGCACAGCCAATGCCCCGGTGTCCCCTCCTGGGACATGCTGGCAGCTTCGCTTCAGCTCGCCACTGGGCTCATTCTTGTAGCAACCAAAGAGCTGAGACGGGTGGGCAAAGGAGGTGTCTTATGCCTCTGCTTGCACTTTGAAGGTAAAAAGCTCCCCGAGGACCCTGGTGCTGACACGGTGGATTTCCCCAAAAGGACGACTCCAGCCAAAGGTACGTTCCTTGCTGGTTGTGCAGGAGAGGAGTGAGCAGTTATTTCCCATTGAAGTGAGCCTCCCAAACAGGCTGGAGGAATTACATCTCTGGTGCCCCAGTGCTCTGTGCAGGTGGTGCTGAGGGCACTCGTTGCGCCTGGAGCCAGCGCTGCCTCAGGCCTCTGAGTCCGCAGAGGGACAGTGTGGTGACAGCCCTAGGACGTGTGGCACAAGGGCAGCACGGTGGCACCGCTCGTCTCTCCTGGGCCTGAGGAATAGGCAGGATTTAGAGCCAGAAGCCCTGCTTGAAGTGTTTTCCAGCACGAGGGCCATTCCGAGCGGCCTGGACAGCATCAGCCCAGGGCTGCAGTTCAGCTGCTCCTGTCCCAAAACACCCTGCGGTTCCTGGGGCGCCCCTGCTGCTCCCAGGGCTGTGGAGAGCCAGGCAAGAAGGGTCTCTCCCTGGGCGTGCGTGTCCACGGCAAACAGATAACACACGATGGGCCATCCCTGCCCACTGGGGCCTGGCACCTCTGGTCTGAGATGAGCTGGGCCCAGGCTCTGCAGCGTGGTGGTGGTGGTGGCCACTGGCTTGG